TCGCAACACTAAAATCCTTTCGCAAAGTCTCCAATGCCTCTCCAAGAGAAATAACCTGAGATAATTCTTGTCCGACCTTGCTTGCCTTGTCCAAAAGTTTATTATAAGCAGCCTCCACTTTTTTATCCAAATACTCGTCTACGGGCTTTCCGTCAACACAATAGAGTGGACATTGGTCTCTCACCATATGAAGTGTATACGACAACTGTCGAGCCAACAGACCAAGTGGATTCCCTAATGTACCTGTCAAAACACTCCCTCCTAAGTCAGCAACTGCTACCTTATTCCCTCCTTCCATCTTTTTCGTATACACCCTTCCACCTGCACACTTTCGTCCCTCTAAAACAATTACCTCAAATCCAAACAACATCAGTTACCTTGCAACCGCCAACCCAACAAGACCTGCCCCAATAACCATCACTCTTCCCTTACTTGGCCTAGTTGGAATCTTGTCCTTAATTGCCAACGCCACCCCAAAATTAACATACCCGTACGATAACAAGTAGTTATATGCAAAATCTAATAACCCACTACATCGTTCAGGTATTACATCAACAAACATATCCTTCGTCATCAAAATCGACACATTTTCACGCCATTTTGTAATAATGTGATTCCTAATTAAAATATAGTTACACTGTTCTATCCCGCCAACTACACTAACAACCCCAACTTCAATTTCTTCATCCTTTAACGAGTCAGACGGAAATCCAGCCGTTAACGCAACTAAAGCCTCAAAATTTGACTCTTTGTTTATACGAATAGCTTCATCCGAAACAACTTCCTTTCTCGACTTCCTACTTCTAACCACTTTAGAATTAACATTTCTATTAGCAGAATCGGAACTTTTCACTTGGGTTTTGCTAACTTTACCTGAAGAAGATGAAGAAACCAATGCAGACTGTTCTTCATTGGTATTACCGAGAAAGTCACTGGATACCTCATCTAAAGACAGTTTACTGCCTGATCTACCTCGTCTTCTATTCATGGCAGGAGATGGAAATGATTCAGGATCAAACTGGTTTTAGGAGTAGGTTTAGAATTTTAGAAGTGAATTAAAATCGGTAGTAAAATTTTTGGGTTCGAGCATTGGTGATAAGTTTGGGGTTGGTGTCACTGGCTCTACTTCTACCCCTCTGAATCCTAATGTTGGAGGAATAATATTGGCTGATGGTAGCTCTTTGCATGCTTCAAATACTTTTGAAGATAGCACGGGTACATGCGCTTCGTCTTCTGGTGCAAATCATGGTGGTTGGTAAAAGACGATATTGTGGGAGCAGAAACTTTGTATTTCTTGGCTCTTCTATGGTAATTATCTTTATGCCATTTTTCTCTTTCCTCAATTAAATCTTACAGCTTTTAAGCTTCTGTATAATATCTTTTGTATGATTGTGTTCTAATAGCCCGTCTTAAAAACCACCTAGATTTATGACAGTGTGATTACAGTTAACATAGATCTGATTATGTTGTGTCTTGCAGGTGATTGGAGTCCGTTATAGGTGTCTATCAACTCTTTTGCTTATTGTGTGCAGGCACTGTACAAAATGTATTTGAGCAGCTCTTTCGTTAGCTTAAGAGGAAAGAATTATGTACTGTACTATTGTGTGCTATTGTGCATGTATTGTCATGAGAAAGATTTCACTATTGCTAGCAGAGTAACAGGTGAAAAAGCGTCTTTTACATAAGTAAGCAATTTGAAAATTTTGATTCTCTTGATCTTTTCTCCATTGAATTGAATGTGTTGTAACATCTCATGATCTACACTACTAACTTATTAGAGATCTTTTTGTCTCAGATGTACTCGAGCAGTTGCGTTAGGCCAAGTACTTGTGCAGGTTCAGATTTTCTTGGTCTATTTCCAAGCATTTCTCAGATGATAAAAGCTTCAGTCCTCTGTTTGATTGCTTCCATATCAGGCTTGAACATTCTGCTCAACTGCTAAAGATGAGGGAGAACTTTCTGCCTCTGCATAACAACTATCTTTGCCGATATCTTCAAAGGGATCTTTATCCTCATTGTGTAAGTGAACTTGAAGTTGTACTCAGAATGATCGGTTGAACAAACATTTATGTTGCTGGGATCTTTAGTCTAGCTAAAAGCATTAAACTATCACAGAACAACAGCTTGTCAAGTTCATTCAATCTGTTCAATAGTTTTAAGGTCAAAATTCAGATAGATGAATACATCGATGTTAATTTAGTGCTATTAGTGCCCATGTTTTGTAAAATACAGTGAGATTTTTGTTAATGCTAACTGAAATCGTGCAGATATAGTATATAATTCTCACTGTATGTGTTTGTATGTGTGATCAACTGTACATGTATGTATGTGTTTTCATCGCTGAAGCTGGATTAACTGTATGTGTATGTTTGTGTTTTGAAAGCAGAAGTTGGATGTATGTGGAAACTGTACCTAAGTAGCGTCGATTCTTCAATGCCATTTCTTAATCAACTAAGTTACTATTTTTTGCCTGCAGTGAATGCTCACAAATCTATGTTGCTCAAAATGGTCATGAGATTCAGGATTGCTACCAACAAGTCACAGAAGCCTCCACTCCTGGAAGAAGGGATCGATTGATGATGTGGTAATTCCTATCGAGTCATTCCATATGTATGATCTTTTTGGGATGCGCATTAAGCATGAAACAGAATTCCAGCAGTTGTAGAACTTTGCATTCAAGCTGATAGTGGATGAGCTGTTTCCCCCTAATTATGTGTGGCATGTTCAAGATCCAAAAGGACCATGGGAAGGTGATGATGAAGTGAAAGTAGATGATCTCAATAAAGCGATATTTAATTCTAAGGTTTGTCTTGTGCTGCTAGTTGTATAACTATTAGCGCTGTGTTTTTGTAAAATGCAATGAGATTTTTGTTAATGCTAACTGAAATCGTGCAGTTACAGTATTTAATTCTATCTGTATGTGTGATCCAACTGTATTTTTATGTATGTGTTTTGAAAGCAGAAGTTGGATGTATCTGAAAACATTCAATAACTGTCAGTGTGACCAACTGTATCTAAGTAGCGTTGATTTTCCAGTGCCATTTCTTGGTCAACTAAGTTACTATTTTTTGCCTGCAGTGAATGCTCACAAATCCATATTGCTCAAAATGGTCATGAGATTCAGGATTGCAACCAACAATAGTCGCAGAAGCTTCCACTCCTGGAAGAAGGGATCGATGGATGATGTGCTTATTCCTATCGAGTCATACCATATGCATGATCCTTCTGGCACGCATATTAAGCATGAGCCAGAATTCCAGCAGATGTAGAACTTTGCATTCAAGCTGACAGTGGATGAGGTATTTCCCCCTAATTATGTGTGGCATGTTCAAGATTTAAAAGGACCCCCATTGAGGAGTGCACTGAAGAGGTTCCATGGGAAGGTGATGATGAAGTGAAAGTAGATGATCTCAATAAAGCGATATTTAATTCTAAGGTTTGTCTTGTGCCCCTAGTTGTATAACTAATTACTGCTCTCTTTCTGTTTTAACTTGTAAATAGCAATAGTAATCTTTAGATAGTTATTTCTGTTCTCACTTAAAGCAACTTTTTTTAGTTTCTCACTTCCTGTTACCTTGACGTAAGATGAGATATGGTTCATTTTTGGATCTGTACTTGAAGCTATTTAGAATTTTCATCCCTTATATAAAATACAATCTCTTCAACATTTGCAGGTTTCTTGGGCCTAACAGCATAAGTTCTCTATGCTCTCACCAACTTCCAACTGCCTACTTCCGCAAACTTCAAAGACTGACAGTATCAGATTGTGGAAAATTGATGTCTCCATCAGTGGCCAGAGATGCTTTGAATCTCCGAATACTAAAGATAGATGATTGTCAATTAATGGAAGAAGTGATCACAAAAGAGGAAGAACAAGGAGAAGGAGTCTTTCTGACAAATGATGCTATTGAACTTCCCTTTCTCAGGGAAGTGTTGATTGATGACTTCCCTGAAATGAAGACGTTTGTCCAACATGGGATATCTGTGAGTACACCGAGTCTCAAATGGGTGAACTATGATGATAAGGTGAAAGTAGATGATCTGAATAAATGGACACAACAGAGGTTCACTTCTCAGGTTTGTCAAGTATAACTAATCAACTCTAGTGCTCTCTTTCCATCTTAACTTAATAGTAATATTCAGATACTTATTTATGTTTTTCAATTGAAGCAACTTCGTTGTACAATATTTTCAATTAGAAATCTGAAGCATCACTAATCTCTGCACCCAGGAGCAAAAAGCTAGTCAAGGCACTACCGATGGTGAGGTGTTTGACTCCAGAAAATTACAAGAGGATGAGGTCATGGCAGCTTTGAAGTCTGTATGCAGGCTGGTGCTCAAATACCTCACAAGTATAAGCCTAGCCTATGATGAAGCTAGACATTGTGCTCCCTGAAAATGAATAGAGTTGCCTAGTCGCGTAAGGTTCCTTGAGTATAAGCCTATGATGAGGTTAGACATTGTGCTCCCTGACAGTGAAGAGAGTCGTGTAAGGTTCCTCAAGTATAAGCCTGTGATGAGGCTAGACATTGTTCTCCATGAAAGTGAAGAGAGTTGTCTAGTCGCGTAAGGTTCCTTTACTAGCTGTTCTACATAGCTTAACGTACACTGTGTTTGTGTTATAAAGATGTAGGGAAGTCTGTAAATGTAGCTTTCATTATATTGTTCATTGAGTGACTAACTATTGAGGCTGCAGTCTTTGTTTTGCCTCTGTAATGTGAGGATCAGGTCACCCATTTCAACTATTTGTTATTTTAGAAGTTCAATACAATCATTATATTGTTAGATTGAAGCTTTCTCTTTCCTTCTCCTTTGAACACGTATGATAATCTCTCGTTTCTACGTTTCATGTTCTAGTACAAAGATCCATCAAACATGGTACATGTAAAATCGCGTCCAAACAAAAAGAATTGTTTCAAGTTCAAAGCTACATCAAGCTTGCTTCTCAAGACAAAATTCGATCATGGGACATGGTTTCATTTACCTACACACAGACGTCTTGTAGAACATCATCAGTTTGGCTTGAGAACAGCAACGTTTCATCGTTGTTGACCTCTGGTGCAAGAGCTGTCATCTGCTGCTAACGTCGTGTCATCATTAGAACAGGTCACAGATGGCTCATCATTCTTGGATGGTTTAGATTCTATGGAATCCATCTGAGGCCATTTGAAGCTACTAGCTTTTTCTTTTGCTGACTTGAAAACATTTGAAATATAATCATCATTCCTCTCAACATCTTGTTCTGGACCTGTTTTTCGACCCCAAGTAGCAGGATTCCACGAGATAGTTCTTCCTATACGAAAACTTGAACTTGGTCTTCTTATAGATCCATTTCTCAGCTGCTTCTCAGACACAACAGCTAGAGAATGTCTGAGATTTTTCATCATTTCGTTAGCAATTGAGAATCCACACTCTTTCATTGACCTGACCATGACGATAGAATCCTCTGAATCTGCTGTGTGCAAAGTCACGTCACGAGATTTTCCCTCAATTTTGCTAGTGAGATTGATGAGGTTTGGAACTGCAGTGTGGGTATGCTGTTGAACATAGAAAAGCCCCGCTGAGGGCTCGTTTGCAATGAACTTTATCATGTCCATCAACGACTCGGTTATCTCTACAAAGCCATCCACTGTGGAAAACACATGCATTTTCTTGATCGCGAAATGTTCTTCATCACTGGTAGTGTGAGAAAACAATTAGACAGAGTTCTCAATAAACTATTCAAAAGTTCTAAAATCGAAAATCTCTTCTATATAAAACTTGCAGGTATTTGATCGAATAACTTTAACGTTACTCCTGTTGAACGACTGCAGTTCTATCAATGCCGGTAGGCAGTTCATGCAGACAAGTATAAGTTGAACTTACAATAAACAAAGCAAATTAGTTTAAAAACTCAGCCTTCTGAGGAAATTATTGACACATACACATATGACATCCATCATCTCCATGTTTGACAAACAATCGACTTAAATACAACAACAACATACCCAGTGTAATCCCACAAGAATCGAAGTAAATACATTATGTACAATCCATTGTCTGCAAGGCATTAAACATTTACCTGAACATATATCATGTCCACAGATCGCAAATTTGTAGTTGATACACAGTGTCAAATGCACAGTCTGAAAAAACAAATATGCAGCCATTAGTTGCAATTGTTATTTCTTTCAAATAGACAGCAAATAATAAATTGCAGATATCACATGACTCTGTCATCCAGGCATAGGGATCACAAAGTTATATTTGTATAAATAATTTATTCAGAATTCGGTTAACTGCGCATAAACTCAAGATTCTCAATCCATCCCAAGTGCACCTCTTAATACAAAGCCACTAAAAGGTTACTTTCAATATCCTATATGTTTGCATAATCTTTTTTCATAATACATGTAAACTTAGCGAAATGACCTACAACTTAGAAATGAATGAACAACAACGAAAGGGAAACGGGCCAAATTTGCTCATCTATCGTGCAAAAAGGATCAATTTTACTCTTCGTACAAAACTAATCATATGTTACTGAAGTGACTCATATACCCCCTTCTCCCCTCCCCTGTTAAGGCTTTCCAAGGTGGACGCCCAATCACATGTGCCACTGACATTTTCGCAAGATGGACACCACGTGGCATGCCACCTCACTACCCCACTCGCATCCCACAACACCAAAGCCTATAGATTGAAAATGTTCAAGAAAAAAAAAATTACATACGAAATCAAGAAACCTCAATTTCCCCAAAAATCCAAGATATTCAACAAAGTTCAGTGAGTAAATGTAAATATCCACCAAGAAACAAGAACCCAATTTCTCAAAATCAAATCTTTAGCCCATTATCTCTATTAATGATGCTATTAAACAAAAAAATTAACATAATCAAAACTTACCCTTTTCCCTAAACTCTTCATTATTATGAAAAAAGATGAAATCTTTTACTTACAGAGATCAAACTAGAAAAGAAAAGTATCAAATTTAGCAACCATCTTCAGATTGTGAGCTGATTTGAAGCTTTCTTCTGTATTTTGCATGATTTTAAAAAAATAAAATAGAATCAGTATTTTAGTCAGCACCTTTTTTGGGCTGATTTGCTTACTCTGTAAACATCAACTTTTTAGGAGAAAAAAGCACAAATTACCCTAAAATTTATTTCTTATTTCACTAATAGTAATATTATTGAATATTTGTATTATTCACCACAATTTTTTTTATTAACTCATTTATTATTGATGTATAAAATTGGTTATACTGCAATTGTTTGTTACAGAAAAATTGACCCCCCCTCCCCCCACCCCACCCCCCACCTCAAAAAAAGGACAGTAAACAGATAATGTTCTCAAGTATAAATAGTGTACTATTATTTGTATTAAGCAAAAATATAGATAGAGGAAAAGGATAAGTGATGGCTTTTTCTTCTTCAATCAGCTTAAGTTATGGAAAGTTCTGTTCTGGATTTCACTATAATAAGCAACCAATTTTATCAAAATATTTCAAGAATTCACATATCTCAGCCTTTTCCTCCACCCAAAATGGACACCATTTGAAGCTTAAGGTACAATATCCCAGAGCATCTTTTGATAGTGAAGGTTTGTTCTTGTTAAAATTCCACTTTTTTAATGTTAAAAATTTGATCTTTATTTAGTTCTTCATGTTTAAAAGTTCAAGATTGTGGCTTTATAAGATAAATGAATAATGGGTTTCTACTTTTTTGTTGTCTTTACTTAGAATTCTTGTACTTTTGTTCCTCAAAAATTTACCCCTTTTGTGTTTCTACTTGAGATTTTGTTTGTAATTTGGTTAAAGAATTGATCTTTATTTATTTGGTTCTTCATGTTTAAAAGTGCAAGATTGTGGCTTGTACTTTGATTATCGTATTGTTTTAATTATTGGATTGCTTTGGTAATTGACAAGACAATATGCATGGAAAGAGAGCTAAGGTTTGCTAAGATCCTCAGTCCTAGTAAACTTGAATTATCTATAAGAATCTATGTTTTTTTACTCATTCCGTTTCAATTTGTTTGTCTGATTTTGACTTGGCACCGAATTTAACAAAGTTATGAAGACTATTGAATTTTGTGGTCCTAAACTAAAGATATGTACTGAAATACCCTTCAATCTTGGTGTTCTTAATTAAACATGTCATGTGGAAAGTTAAAATTAAAGAATTGCCAAAAAGTAAGGAGGCATTCTTTTCGAAATGGAAGACAAACAGATTGAAATGGAGGGACTAACATGTTTTTATCATTCTTGATGATATTTTCTATCATTAACTTTGTAGATGAGGTTGTGAAGCCACTGTTCATTTGAACCATTTTTGCCTATTAGGCATCTGATTTGTTTTTCATGCAATTTCTACTGATCAGTTCGTTCTTCGCGATGCCCCTCTTGCAGGCCTTCCCTCTGAGATTACTGAAGATTCTAAGTTTGTTTCTATAAACGCCGAAGACCCAAAATATGGTCCACCTGTAAGTTCTGGTTAGTTATTTTACAGTAGCATCAGTCATTTTATTCCTATATTCATTTTGGTTGTTCAATGTGGGAACTACTATGAAGCGTAATGAACGATTCCTTCTGTATTTTAACCATTTTGTTATATACACATACATGGACAGAGTAGAGATGGCATATGTAATATTGTTACTTGAAATGTTAGAGAATTCAAATTTTCCGGCATTTCTGAAGGAGCTGAAATTTTCGAGATTTTGTGACTCGTAAGATGTATTAAAAGTAATTCTTGATCTGGTTAAGAAGTTACGGCAAAGGGAAGGATATCTTCTTTTAACGACTTTATACAATGTTGTATGACAGTCAATACCAGATAATGGCGGTTTTTGGATGGCCTTCAAATGTTTTCTTTTCAAGCTAAAAGATTCTTGAAAGATTAGCACACATTGGGTGTTTTTTTTCTGGTATACTTAGCTCAATCGTTTATCTTAAATGAAAGCCTCAATGACCCATTTTACAGGCTTTGTTGTTGCTGGGCTTCGAAGTAGACGAAGCAGCAAAGGTAATTTCTAGACTGATTACCTTTTACATGCTCATGTTTGGCTGTACTGAGAGTTTTGTGTGTTAAACATTACTCACCATTGGTGAATCGGTGTCTCAGATGGTACTCGGAAAGGAACAAGAATCCTCTTAATGCTATATATCTTAGTATAATGATAAGAAGGTAAAACAAATAGAGTAACCATATCTGATAGATAGCAGTAATTTTGATGTTAGTGAAACATGCTCCTTGGAATATAAAAATAAAACAATAGAGAAAAGGCATAATACATAGATAGACACCTTAACTTGGCCTCAGCTCTAGACACCTCAACTCGTCATCATTGTGTCCGTTGAACACTCCAACGTACAAAATAATCATTTAGACACCTTCAAAATTTGTGTGTCATGCTAGTGTCGGTTGTCCACGAGACACAGTGGGGACGAGTTGGGGTGTCTAGATGTGAATTTTCAAAGTTGGAGTGTTTAGTTACGAGTTATACCTTTGCATCGATAACTGATCCCTCTACGTTTATCTTGTTGCAGATACAACAGCTTTTGAAGGAGATGGATGGTGAATTCCTACAGGTAAAGTTCACTAGACTTCTCCACTACTAGCGAGTTGATGGTATTATCTGAAGGCAGAGAGCCTGTATAATTAAACTATTTGCTTTTCTGTACTAAGTTTGTCGTTCTCTCTCACACTAAACGTCATTTTCTTGAAGTTACATCTAATACAACATATGCTGCAGGTCATCTTTTGTACCGAAGACATGATTTCTCGCTCACTTTGGGAAGCAGTGAACACAAAACAGACCAATTTAGAAGCTTCAAAGGTCAGATAACAGAACTATCTCTGCGCTTCTGCACACACAAGACTGTTGGTGCACCTACATTAGATCCAACTTTTTTTCTGAGAGTCTGTTTAGTCCCCTTAGAGATTCGTATGTCAGTAGAAAATGTAGAGAAACCTTTGGTGTTAGAGAACCAAAAGTTTGTCATATTAAAACGAAACAGTACCAAATGGAACGAAATAGATATTGAGGATCATATAAGCAACTCCAACTAACATGGAATTTGTTGGTGCCCTCCCTTGTTGTTTTAATATATGCCTATCCGTGTCGTAAGCATCGCGGAATTGCTTGTCTAAACGACAAACTCATCGTAAATTACTCTAATGTGGAGGTATCATTTATGCAGATTGCTAAACAGCTTCCGCGAATTTGCTTCCTGTCTGGCCTTACTGGAGAGGAGATGATGATGTTTCTTGACGCATTTGAAGAAAGTGGTAAATAACTTTTTGATATTCTGCATTCACAGCCAAAGATCTTTATCTTTTTGTCTGTGTTCATAGCCAAAGATCGTAAAATTAACGAAAAGATTATGTCTGAACAGAGAAAACTCATTAAAAACAGAGAAATACAGGATTATCTTGAGATCTTAGTAGGAAAAACAGATCATCATAAAACTTTTATTAGTAAACACATGAGTATTAGAATGTTCTCTTTGTTCAGCAGAGACGGAGTCAAGTTTATGTGTTCGGGATTCTAGTCCGTTTAAATTATTGATTCTAAATTAATAGTTAATACATGTTCATTATATTTCTTAAGACAAATATAAGATTTGGATCAAAGCTACATCGTTCTCTTTCGTAATCTTCTTTCCATAGCAATGATAAACAAGGCATTAAACCGATTATGAACTTTTTTTCAGTTCAATGTGGCCTGTGATATCGATGATCTTCTACATGGTCATACTCGTTGACCATTGTACTTTTGAAATTATGAGTTCAGAATTCAGTATTTTTTGAAAATTTAATGTTTTTTCACATATATATCTATATCTATTTTCTGTGTCGAAAATACTGGATTCAGTTGAACACATGTGCAGGACTTGAAGACCCCGTCTTTGCTGCTCTTGTTCCAAACAGCGCGGAAAAGCCATTACAAGAATTAATCGATGAGATTATGGGTGATCATGAACTACTAGTAAGCTTAGTTCACTTCCTTTTGACAATACATACTACAATTAAACATGCATTATCTACGAAATTTTGTTGTTTAGCTACAAAATTACGTTACTCACGTCTAACTAATTCCGATTCGTTGTTATTTCTAAAAGTATATATAATATCAACAGGTTTTTCATCATGGCTGATATTTCTTTATATTTTTGCAGTCTGCCAAAAATTCAAGCTAGAGGAAAAAAAAATGTTCTACAAATTAATTGCACTGCCATTAATTTTTTTTTATAAATCTTGTTATTTCATTTTTTACACTATCAATATATATATAGTTGGTTCATCTATTATACATTGTCAATGCATAGGAGATGTTTGCGTCTATTAAAATAATATACTCACATAATTTTTGCGCAAATCTTTAAAGTAATTTTATTCAAAATAGAATGTGGAATAACACAACATATATATTGACAACAAATAATTATGAACACATTTATTATTATTTTTTGCATAAGATCGATCGAGCTCATACATTATTATTGACTATATGAATAATCTTAGCATAACCTTATTGGTTCTATATTTATTGGACACTAGGATTTGAAGATGCATATGTTAGAAATTCCTCATCTTTCTCCAACTCAAGCATTTCCTCATTGTTTCTAAGAATCCAAGCTTCAATTCCATCATTTCTTCCATTTTCCACAAGAATAATTTGTTGTTTATTCAATGAGCTAATAGGTTCAATAAAGGGAGCAATAAAAATAGGTTTTCCCCATCCAAAATCAACATCATAAAGTCCAAAATTGCACCAACTTGAGAACTTATAAGTATCTAATTGTGGCAATAAACTCCCAACTTGTGTTGTCATATCCACAATACAATCAAGTGCATCATCTCCTTGTAAAGCCTTCAAGTTTTCACTATTCATATTCTCAAACATCTCTCTCACTATTCCAAACAAATGAGGCAAATCCAATTCATCATCATCACTCATATCTATAACTTCACTAGTTGCTATAAAGACTAAATTCCCAAATGCATTAAGCAATTTTGGGTCAATTCTTGATCTCAAGTTCACAACATGTGCCACCATGATTGGACTTGAGCTAGTTCCCTTTGTTGTTCTTGTTGCTAAAATCAAGTGCTTCCAAATGAAAGTAGTCAATGCCTCGACTCGACTTGGATTAGGTACATTTTCACTAGACACTTTCATCTTAATGGCTTCAATTGCTTTGGCATTGAACACGAATCTCCTAACGAGAGACTTTTCCTCATAGAAAAATATCATTTTATTGGTTTCCAAAAACTCTTGAGGAAGATTTTGAGGTGGAAATAGTAGTGATGATGATGTGAAATCAAGAGACGCGATATCATCATTATGAAAATCACCACGTGCAATCTTAGCCCACGTGTTGAAAAATTTGCTCATGGTATCTCCATCTAATAGTCTATGAAACAAGACTCCACCAATCGCGACTCCACCACAATCAAACCTAGTTACTTGTATAGAAACTAGGGTTTCAAGAGTTTGAACATAGTTCATTTTGCTACCCATGCTTGCATGTTGTGGAAGGAAGTTAATGAGTTGTGAGAGATCAAGATCTCGAATAAACTCATCCATACAAACATTATCCTTTACACAAGCCTCCATGTAAAGAACTCCGTTATCATTACATTTCACAAAAGTAGAATCATCTTCGAGCTCGCCAGCAAGTGGATAGAATAGGGTTAGGGTTTCAGAGAGGGATTTCTTGAGACGATTATCGACAATATTGTTGTTGTTTTTGTAAAAGAAGATAGGTGTTATGCAAATTCCAAGTGCAAGTTGATCAAAAAGACATAATTTGTAATTTTTTAGGTGTGGAGGTGTTGGTGTTGATGGTTTCACTTTTTCCTTAGAGAGGATAATGATTTCCATATTGCTAATATTAGCTAGTTTCTAATTCTACCTTGTGATAAGCTTAGCTTTATTAATATATAATTAGAATAATATTATTATGAAAATGTCTACTTTCAATAAATTTATGTGTGCTAGTTTAGTACACGTTTACTTATAAATGTTTTATTGAACATTAATTATATTGTGAGCTATGTGTTGATTTTAATTTGCTACTTTTGAATTTATGTATGATAGCTATCATTAAAGAGTGGATACTATACTCACTACTAAATCTAGAAGTCATATATACATGTTTCTATAATTCATGCATGTAATATAAGTAGTACGCAATTTTTTTGGTGATATGGATTTTAAAAATATTTTTGTTTAATTTTTATAGTATCCTCAGTAATGACCTTCCGTAACAATATGTATGGCCTCATCATGATCCATGACACGTTTTTAGTGTTTAGGGGTCAAATAACAGGAATTATAGGTGATTTTCTCAATTTTCCGTGAACGTACATAAACTTTTTTTGGGAACATTTTTTGCAAAAGCTTTACTATATACTATGTAATGACCTAAGGTAACAATACATATGACCGCACCATGATTTAGGCAATGTTTTTAGCATTTAGGGACCAAACAATAGAAATTGGGCAATTTTCTCAGTTTTTCATGTGTGTTATAGTACATAAATTTTTTGGTGATATGAATTTTGGGAAGATTTTTGCAAAATCATTACAGGACCCTCCATAATGATCTGAGGTAACAATATGTATATCCTCACCATGATCATGTCACATTTTTAGCATTTAGGGGCCACACAATAGTAATTGGGCGAATTTTCTCAGTTTTTTGTGTGTGTTAGTACATGAATTTTTTTATCATATGAATTTCAAAAACATTTTTTACAAGAACTCTACAAGACCCCTGTAATGACCTACAATATGTACAACCTCACCATGTTCCAACCCACGCTTTTAACATTTAGGGGCCACATAACAAGAGTTAGGTGATTTTCTAGTTTTTCGTGTGTTAGTACATGAATTTTTTGGTGATATGAATTTGGAAACATTTTTTTGCTAAAATATTACAGGACCCTCTATAATGACATGAGATAACAATACGTATAGCATCACCATGATCCAAGCAAACTATTTTGCATTAAGGGGCCACACAATAGGAATTATGCGATTTTCTCAGTTTTTGTGAGTGTTAATACATGATTTTTTTTGGTGTACGGATCTTGGGAACATTATTTGCAAAAACTTTACAAGACCCTCTGTAATGACTTGAGGCAACAATACATATAGTCTCACCATGACCCCGACTAAGTTTTTAGCATTAGGGGGGTCACATTATGCAATTTTCTCAGTGTTCCGTGTGTGTTAATACATGAATTTTTTTGGTGATATAGATTTCTGAAACAATTTTTACAAAAAAAATTACAAGAACTAACGTAATGACCTGAGGCAACAATACGTATAGTTTCACCATGATCCAAGCCACTTTTTTGGCCTCATAACAGAAATTAGGCCATGTTTTTTGGTGATATGAATTTCGGAAACTTTTTTTGCAAAATACATATACAAATTTGTACTTTTGTTTGATATTTTGTGAACTAGCTAGTCGAAAAAGTGATAAGAAGGTCTAATCATGCTACTTTAGACCACTTAAAGCATTGCACTTTAATTATCCCTAATATCTATATGTCTCTAATGAGGGCGAGGTGCATCGATATCCAATTTTGATGTAATCATTTAATTTGTGTCCGCATTTTAAAATTATTTCAACGTCAGACATATGATGAGTCAATATCTGAAGTTTTGGATGGCTAAAGTTTAGTCAATTATGTCTTTACTTCAAGCATATGTATATGGTTAAGTTCAAACAAAATAATGAAATTAAACAAAAATATTTAAAAATCATCTTACGCTACGTAAATCAAAATTAATTGAGGCTTCATTAAATTATAAAGCATTCAATAAAAAAGAAAAAGAAAAAAGATTATGTGTCGATATTGATATCCTTATATAAGGTCAATTAAGAGAGAATTAATTGACCCCCCGCCCCCTCCCCCCACCACCACCACGTGATACACACAATAATAATAGATAGAATTATTATGAAAGCAAAAGCACCTCCCTATTTTTTTTCCCTTCTAGAATGATTTATTTTTTTTAAAAAAAAAGGGAAATGTCCAAATTTATGTGTATCTAAAATTGCTTTAATTTTTTTCTATACAATTAAACTTCTTTATAATAGTAGTATTGTTTGTTTGAATATTGTTTAGCCGCTATAGACATGATGTTTTATAAAATATGCAATTGTATAACATAACATGATAACCAGTTACAAAAAATACTTGATCGTTATAATAAAATATTACTATATTCGATTATTATTATAAAGAGATTTAGTTGTTATATTTTTTTGATTCATCTATAAACTTGTTGCTAACCTTGTATTATACATCGTAAAATAGATCGGGCTTGAGTTTTTAAATTCTTCTAAATTTATCCATCAATTTTTTACTATGATTCAAAATTACCTTCGAGTTAAACCTCACTTTTCCCCCTTCTAAAATTGACCAAACAATCCATAGATATGGGTGCTTACTGATTTTTTCAACCCAATATTGAACAATTTTTCCAATATGTTATAATTTATATTCTAAATAATGTCCTTGTTGTAGTGTCCAAAATATTGGCTTATTGTTGTGCTATCATTTTTTGTGGAAAACCTTAGTGTTGACTAATTAAAAACCTTAGTGTTGACTAATTAAAAGTAGATCCATTCAATCGATGAACACTCATAAATTTAGTCATTTTAAATAAAAATAATAATATAACGAATTCAAGTAATCAATCGCTTTCTTTTTTTCAATAGTGCAACACTAAAAAGTCTTTAGTATAGTGAAAGAGCACTCAATGAAAAATAAAAATCCAAGTGCAAGACTAAGACATTTGATGTTTATCTATTTTTCTTGGAAGACAAATAGGAAAGAAAAAAAAACTAAACAATCATATCATATTTGATTTGATTTTTTAAAATTGTTTTAGTGAGATATTATTTAAAAAATATAGTGTATAACATAATATAAAAAGGTGAAATTAATAAGAACACATAATTGTTATAGTAAAGTGTTATAATAAAGAATGACTATTATAGAAAAATCTGATTTGTAACGACTTTTAATCTTTCAATTCATCAAAATATCTAATTAAAAGTAGAATATATTTTTTTCTATTTTAAGTCAACTATGAAGTCTACATTATAATATAATAATAGCTCTTCCCCACCTCTTAAATGTTGGCGTGGGGTGCGCAAGATCTATCTATATATATATATATATATATATAATATAT